CTCTCTGATCTACCAGCATGGACCCCAATAACTCGCCTCAGGTTTGATTTTATTAATAAGAACTTTTAAGATTCGTGCGACACCCCTTCTTCCATCTCCCCGTGCCGAGAGCCACATGCTGAGGAAAACTAGGCACCTGGTCCAGTACCTCTCACCTGGCAGCCACATGAAGACAGAGGGCCATTGCTAGCTAGGTCCTATCACCCCAACTGTTCACAGCCATCACAGGGAATCTCTTCCAAAGGATGTATTCAAGAAACAGTCCTGCCTCAATTTCTTGTTTACCGCTGCCCTCATAAACACTTTGGGGGATCTGAACTTTGAACAGGCTTAACTAGCCTCTGTGAGTTATGTGCAAAACCATCTTACAGGTCTAGAATTGGGAATTCCATCAGTTCACTTCATGTGCCAATTTTACAACCATGGCATACAACTGTGCAAGCTGCCAAGCTGGCGCCTTACATAATGGTGCCCAATCAAGGGTGGGGGAGGGGGTAGACAACCAACACCAGGCTTCATTTACTGAAAACGCCACTGCTGTGCATTTCTCACGAAGGGATCTTTACCTGCCAACGCATCTTAAGCTGGCGTACCATTTCCCCACCAGTGTCTACCACAATTCCTTGGAGGCTCTGTATTCATTAACTTTCATTGCTGTGACCAAAGCACCTGATTAAAACAAATTAAGGGAGGAAAGAGGACTGACTGGGGCTCCCAGTTTCCCAGGTACCGATCACAGTAGACTGGCCCCACGAGAGTAGCCTGGGTAGACATGATGGCTGGAGGAGCATGTGACAGAGGAAATTCTTCACTTTGTGGGGAACAGGACGCAGAGCAAGCAACAGGAAGGGGTGAAGGGTAATATATTGAAGACTCCACACCTAATGACCTACTTCTTTCCACTAGGTTCCACCTCCTAATTTCCATAGCATCAGAAAACCAGGCTTGCAGCTGTGGGGCATCGTCCTCTGACTGGACTGGACAAGCACCACAAGGACTCCATATCAAAACTGTAACACTATCCTTGGAAATACCGCTATGCAGACAACCTCCATATTTGATTATCGTCAGTTCCTAACACTGGATCCCTTGATATTTAGTTATTTCATTAAGAGTATTTAACAGGTATCCCATCCTGAATATGCTTGTGAGCCTGGACAATGTCCTGCCACACTCCCCTGTCCAGCTGAAAACATGGGCACATCACTGACAACTGAGGCACCAGACACATCCTTCTGCTGGAAGTCTTGCTCCTGGAAAGCTCTTTCTAATGAATAGTTGTAGCATGAATCTTAAAAGTTCTTATTAATAAAATCAAACCTGAGGCCAGTTATTGGGGTGAATGCTGGAAGATCAGAGAGCCAGAACAAGCCACAGCTAACATCCCCTGGCCAACTTCTCAGCTGGTCTTGTTTCCTCAGACTGGAAGCTTCTGTGTCCTCATCCCAATGGCTCTCAGCTGAACTGCTGCTAGAAGCCTGAAAGCTTAACCAGCCAAATGCTTCTAGTTTCTGGTCCCCACGCCTTATATACCTTTCTGCTTTCTACCTCCACTCCCTAGGATTAAAGGCATGAGTCACCATGCCTGTCTGTATCCTTGAACAGATGGATTTCTGCCTCTGGAATGCTAGGATTAAAGCCGTGTGCTACCACTGCCTATCCTTTATGTTTAATATTGTGGCTGCTCTGTCTCTGACCTCAGATAAGTTTATTAGCATGCACAATATTTGGGGGAACACAATACCACAAATAGTAGTTTACAAGAACTTCTACATCACTACACTGACCAAATGCTGTCATTTTGACTTGCTACAATTCGGGGTTTCTTAATTTTGATGCTTCTCCTATTTTGGACCACACAGTTCTCTGTTGTGGGTATCATCTATGCACTGTAACACAGGGAGAGTAGAATCCCTGGCATTTACCCACTAGAAGGCAGCAGGACGCCTCCTCCTCCCTGGACATTGAAAGTTGTCTCTCGACATTGCCAAATGCCCTCTTGGGGGCAAAATTCTGAGTGTGGCAGCCATCCTGCTACATCTCCAGCTCCACCGCAGCACCGCGCTGATGGGAGCGGAGGTACAAGGACCACATGTCCATCGACATCCATGCCATGACAGCTCCACCAAAGCACCGCGCTGATGGGAGCGGAGGTACGAGGACCACATGTCCATCGACATCCATGCCATGACACTGAGACAGACAGAGCTGCCCCTGAGATCCCATTGGCAAACACATGAAAGAACTGTGCAGATGTCAAGAGGTCAGACTGATTCCCAAGAGACAGAAAACAGCCTAATCTTGACTTTTTGCTTCTTTGCTTTCTCCACGGACTTTGCTACTAACTTCTCGTTTACTCCTGCCCTTCCAGAAGCAAGCATGGCTGAATTGACATAAGTTATGTGTTTTAGCTTCCCAATCAGGATGTAAACAACAACAAATAGTTCCTGACCTCTGGATAGGTTTACTCTGTCTTCCCACCCACTCACATTCAATGCAGTTATGCCCTCAGATTGGTGGCACTATGACATACTGTATTTTCAGAGGCCACTTTGGCTTGCCTTGCCCTAGTGTGGAAGGCTATTTGGGGCAGAAGCCCACAGTCAAAGACTGATCTGTATATACAGATTATATATGTCATATATATATATATGTATATATATATACATATATATATATGTATATATATATATATATATCAGGTAAATACAACCCTCATCAAAACAGTAACATAGGCTAATCCTTGGAGAAAAGAAGTGATTTTATCTTTAATGCCAACTACTTCTATTACTATTACTACCACACACACACACACACACACACACACACACACACACCTAGAAACAGTCTCATAAACTGTGATTATATACTAACTCATATTTCATGCCAAAAGTAAGTTCCATATGAATCAAAGATGAGGCATAATAATGAAAACTTAATAGTTATATAAAAACATTTGGAGGACAGTGTTTAATAAAATTGGGATGAAGACATCTTCAGTCAATGCCTAAAGTTCACAAATCTTATGACGGATTTTTTAGACCAACTATTCTATGTCTAGAAATTTATCTTTTAGATATATTTACATATGTATATATATATATGTATATATATATATATATATATATATATGTATATTTTCTAACAGCCCAACACAAAGAAGCAACAGGAACAATAGTCTGAAAATGCTACAAACACTGAGAATGCCATATGGAGATGATGAAGATCACTGAACACATTAGGACCCTCTCATACACTATGAGAGTGAAAATGACCAGGAGAGATGTGAAGGTGCCGATGTAAGATAACTATTAGGTATGCAGTTAAAGGAAACAGGTTACAGAAGACTGTATACAGTGTCCTTTCTTCATTATAAAGAAAACAGGAGCTACAAGGGGATTGTTATCACCTTTATGCCTATATTGTAGTTATTGCTATAAAAAAAGATAATTTATACAATTCTCTTTGGAAAGGAAGAACTCTGCTGTGGGATGTTAATGTATGTCCTGTGGGAGCCCTTCTTGGGTTCCTTGTGGAGTTACCCAGCAGGTTTGCATAGAGGATGATTAGGACCATGGGCCTGAGTGCAGGTGTTTGAGATGGTCTGCACTTGGCTGTACTGGGGGATGATCTGTATGTCAAGTTGCTCTGATTGGTCAATAAATAAAACCTGATTGGTCGTAGCTAGGCAGGAAGTATAGGCGGGACTAACAGAGGAGAAATAAAAGAACAGGAAGGCAGAAGGAGACGCTGCCAGCCACTGCCAGGACAAGCAGCATGTGAAGATGCTGGTAAGCCACGAGCCACGTAGCAAGATCTAGATTTGTAGAAATGCGTTACTTTAAGATATAAGAATAGTTAACAAGAAGCCTGCCATGGCCATACAGTTTGTAAGCAATATAAGTCTCTGTGTTTACTTGGTTGGGTCTGAGCGGCTGTGGGACTGGCGGGTGACAGAGATTTGTCCTGACTGTGGGCAAGGCAGGAAAACTCTAGCTACAGAACTCTGCTGTCATTGTGTATCCTGTGACACTGAAATTACTTCTTATAGTCTACAGTAAGTGCACCACACACAACCCCAAAAGAATATAGCCCAGAAAAGTACATCACAACAGAATAGCAAATGTTCTATTTGTATGAAAAAAGAGAATCCTTACCTTTCTCTGCAAAATTTAAGTGAATGTAGTATGGCAGGCCTTTTCTGACGTAAATTCCACAAGTGTAAGGTGTCATCAGCCAAGGCACTCACAAGGGCTCCCTTGAAAATAAAGTGTATCTTTTATGCAACAATGTATTTTATATGTAACAATTTTACAATAGTGTTTCCAAAGAGGTGCCAAAACAGCTTCAATTTGAAAACATTTAGCCAATAAATTAGAGTTTTAAAGAATATTTGCCTCACCCAAATTCTCAACAGCAGATGTAGAAGAGTATGATATATATATATAATTAATGTTTTAACTTCTTCAGTAATTTAGCACCTTATAATCCAAAAGTATACTAGGATCTGATGGGAGGGCTAAAATCTCCAAAATTATTTAGACTCTAAATCATTTGGTCATTATTATAGATACATTTTTAATAAAAACAAATTATAAAATAAAGCGACCTCATTTTATTTATGTACAACAAGCACTAATGGGAGTCCTTTATTCAGATTATAATAATAGAATAATGATACTATTCCGCTCTGAACAACTGAAAACTCTGACTGGTTACATTAAAACATCCTGTTAGTTTATACAATCACTCACAGGTAAGAAAGTGAGTGGCCCTAGAGCCACACAGGTGACTCAGTCTTGCCAAAGTCCAACAAGTCAGAATTTTCAGAGCAAGAACCTCTGCAAGTCCATTTCCCGAAAAGCTCAGAGAGAGAGAGAGTGATCCGTAAAAAGGATGAACAATCTGTAGACTAAGGGGTCGATTTAGTGACATGTCTAAACTCACTAAGATGCCTTTGCCCAATGAGCCACCCCACCGGCCCATCTGTCATGCACATTTTGTGACTTATTCCATAGACCCTAAGTATCTGGGGCAAAAAGAATGTCTACAGACTATCCTCAGATTTAAAGGAAGTAAGTCTTTCTCAGCAGTCTCCCTGCGAGCAGTTTCCTATGTTATAAAATGGCATCTTCTCTAGTTCCCTTCATACTTCCTTCTCAGAAACAAAGCCAATAAGCAATACAATACACTCTCGAATGGAAGCTTTTCCCTGCATATATTCTGAAGCACCCTATTAAAATACATTCTCTTACCTATAATGAGCTCTGTATTTAACACCATCTCAATATAGACGACTTTCTGATGTTATGTAACTTTCAAAATCCTTGAAATAATAGCTAAAATATACCATCAGGTATCAAAAATATCTACCCACACTATTGTACTTGCAACATTATTCCAAGAAAACATACTGGGTGACTATCTGTGGTAGCACCTTAAAATGAATTATGACTGCCTCTGACTCACAAGAAATTACATTTAGGTTCAGATATTTAAATATAAGTATATGCGAGCAATCAGAAAAACTAGATGTGCTCTAATTTCGGCTCTAAGTAGGAGGAATAAACACAAGTCACTAACCTCATTAATCAGGAACTGGAGTTGAATTACCGCCGCTCCGCTGTCATGTTGGCAATAACACTCCACTCCTGGACGACCAAAGCTGCCATCGGTCCCATTAAGGAGTTTTAGCAGGTGTACTTGTAAAAGAAACTTTTATCTAAATAATAAATATTCTGATGACCTGATATTCAATCCACACCACTTAATGAGGCTGAGGTAATTAGGGCTTTAGTTTTCTTTTTTCTTATAACTACAAATCTTATAGATTATAGTTTTAAAATAAATAGGAAAACCATTCCTTCTAGAAAAAAAGCATTAAAAATCAGTAATAAACAAAACAAGATAATAAGGTTTATTAGTATACTTTGACCCAAACTCTTTCATTCCTCTTAAAGTAACAAGAGAAAAATGGTAGTTGATCTTCAGAGTACTGATTTTTCCCTTAGCAGGCAAATATCACTTAAAAATATCCTTTTTACTATCATTTTTCAATCCAACAGTGGCATTTTAAAACTAAAAATATAACCAAGAACTAACTATATAACCACACTGCTCGATGCAGCATGAAAAAAACAATCAATGTTCTAATGCTTTTCAGTTAGGATGGATGGGAGACATTGCACATGTAAAAGCACATTTTAACTAATATTCTCTCTGTACTGGGTATTATTGTAAATGTTATATAAACTAATTCATTTAGCTGTCATAATCCAGGAAGAACATATTATTATTCCTCATTTAAACTAAACAGACAAGAAAAGTGAGGCACAGAAGTTAATTAACATGAGATCTGTGTATACCAGAAACTAGCAGAATACAACCCAAATATCCTTCATGGCTCCATGGTCTCCATTTGTCTTCTCCTCACCTCCTCCTTTCCTTTTTCCCAGTGCTTGGGATGAACCTGGCTTTTGTGCATGTTAAGTACATGTTCTACTAGGTTACATCCCTCGTCCTATTTTCTTAGATACACCGAATAAAGATCGAAACCTAACAAAAAACATACATTTGCAGAATTTTCTGTGAGGCACTGCTGTGTGCATTATACTTTCATTAACCTGAAATGAGAATGCAATTGTTTTAACACACTGCCACCCTATTTTTGGTAGCTACTAAATAATACAAAGTAAAAAGACAGGTTTAAAACACTTGGTGATTTTAATAAACTCCAGCCCAAGTTCTGCTTAATGCAAAAGCAAATGCACCATAAGTTAAATTCTATTTTGTAGACTTTTCCTTTCTTGCTATGCATCAACCTCAGGGCCTCATTCATGAAAAGCAAATGTTCTACCACTGAGCTATAAATCCCTCCACCCACTGCTCTTTCAATATTAATCAAAGACGTGTTCTTTGAGCTGAGGTCTGTTGTCTGGAGCTCAGAGTTGTTTCTCAGGAGTAAAACACAGCCGTAACTATCCAACTATAAGATGTGAGATCAGCCTTGTCCCTGCAGAACTTGAAAAGAGCCTAGCAATGAGACACGAATGTAGCACTGAGGGTCTTACTAGCTGAGTGTGGTGGTTCCTGCCTGCTATTCCAGCACTTAGAAGGCAGAGGCAGGAAGATTCCACAGTGGAGGTCAACTGGAGATTTGATTTTCAAAAACCAAAGGCTAAGGATATAGCTCGTGTTACAAGCTTGCCTAGTTTGTATAAAACTCTGGGCTTCAATCTCCAACAACATATACACCAAAGATTCTTATTCTTGTTTTTTAATCACCCACAGTTATGTTAACCACACTGGACAAGAGGGGAAATTGTAGAGACTAGTTTTGTGAAATCCTCTTAGACATTTTTTATTTTTATTTTTAAACAGATCTGTTCTGCAATTCAGATTTTAACAAGATATATAATAGTATGGAGAACTGCTTTATAAGAATATAAAATTTAATAGACAAAAGATTTAACAATAAACAAAACTGACTACTAGAAGCAAAGAATATAAAAGCAGCTCTCCTCACTGGGGCAGGCTTAGGAGTAGTCTCCTGGCCTTGAGAAATCCTCTTTACTTTGAGTGTCAATCAGTGGTTTATCACAGAAAACACCTTGAAGTCCAGAAGTCAACTGCCTCAAAGTCAAGAAAGCTTCTGTTCTTGTGCTGCAGACAGTGCTATACAAAACTGTCCTGTACCACCTAATACAGTCACCTACGGGTCATAAACACAACATCCAGACATGACAGAATGACTCTCACCATCTATCAAAAGTAAGCACTATGCCTTAGCACATCTATGTACTTGGTCTAAGAAGCCATCCTGCCCAGAGTTCCTGATTTCATTCCTCTCCCTTTGATTAGTAGTGATGCAGATGTAGCCAGCCTCAAAGGGTCCTACCAGCATGGCCCTGTGGACAGAGGATGGGTAGGGAGGTATCACAGTAAGTCATGACTGCGCTTTAACAGAAAGCTTAAATAAACTTTAAAGAATGGATATGGTGTGTGTGTGTGTGTGTGTGTGTGTGTGTGTGTGTGTGTGTGTGTGTGTGTGATCATGAAATACAGCATGGGAAAAGCATACAATTTACATCAAGCAGTTCTGACCCTGGTAGTATGTCGGAGTTTCTGCCCTACTGCAAATATAGTAAGCCCAGTCTGCCGGAGGAAATGTGTGGGTGGGGAGAGTGGTTAGCTAGCTCGTTTACTTTCGGTGCCACAGGAACATCTAAGGTACAAAGAGAATTCAGATTTCTGCTTCCAAGTCAGCTCATATGCCAGCTCTACCATGTTCACTATGACTTTCAAATAATTATTCATTCTATTTCTCTACTTCCTAATCCACAGATGCACATAAGACCTATGCAGTCTAGAGTGCAGAAATGCAGTGAGGACTAAAACACACACGGACTCATCAAATAATACCCTTTATGTTGTTTAACTCAATGAATTTGTTACACCAGCTAAGACTGTTACTTTAAAGGACAAAAAGAATCACACCAAATACCCATATCGTTTCATACCAGTGACTGTGCATGCATGCTCCTTAATGTTGACGTTTTTGAAAGAACATTCTTACTACAAAATAATCCAACTTTCTAACTATCATCTACTTGATAAAAAACATTGCCATCTCTCATGGGTACAACTAGACAAGGCATAAAATATCTGAAATTCAAATTAAAACCAAAAGGATTGTACACTGAATGATTTTGTTAATATATATGTTAAATGGAGAAATGTTCATTTATTATCATGTACTCTGATATATTTTTTATGGAACAAAGCTGACTAATGCTAAATGTTTTTATTATTGTTACTCTACCTTGTCACTCCGAATTCCAGTGCGCTCTGTTAAAAAGGATACAGATTTCCTAACTCGGACACCCTTCTGCATTCAGCTTTTCTGCTGTTTGCCTATCAATAACTAGGATGCCTACCTAACTATTCCCCTTGGCTTCTGAAGCAAATCAATTGCTTTACTTGAGGATCAGTACCTGCCTGACACTTCCTGTAAAGTTTGTCCAGCTTTCCTCATCCAAAAGAGGAGTTGCAGAAAGCAAAGCTGAAATATGCAAGATTCTCTCAAAGATGCCCTGCGTATGCAGCAGGAAAAAAAGCGAAGAATTCCACAAATATAATGAAAGTAGAAATGAATGAGGAATAATAAGGGAGTAGTATATAAAATGGATAAACAGAAAGAAAAACGAGAGCTAATAAAATCTTAACTTTTTGGTATTGCCGAGTATGGAATGTAAGGTCTTGAATACATGCTATAAAGATCACTCTGTCTACTGCTGATCTACATCCACAGCCCAGGAGGATTCATGAATGGAATAAAAGATCAGGAGGGCTGCAGAGATGGGTCCAGGATAAAACACTGTAGGATAAGTGTGAGGACCAGAGATTGGCTCTCCCAAGCCATGCAGAGGCTGGAGACATGCGGTGGGTGGCTGTCTATAATTCTGGCACTCAGAATGCAGAGACAGGGTCCCTGGGGCAAGGTGGCTATCTAGACAAAGTCAATCAGGGAGCTCTGGGTTCTTTGAAAGGCCTTACCTTAATAAGTAAAGTGGAGAGTGATGGAGGAAGACAGCCAACATCAACATTAAGTGTCTAATGGTACACACTCAGTATTAGACCAGAATACACACACATACACACACATACACACACGCACGCACGCACGCACGCACGCACGCACGCACGCACGCATGCATGAGCACCAACCACAAAAATCATAGCTAGCAAAGTATTTTACTTTTTGTGCTAGATATCCATTTCAAATTAAGGCTGGAGTTCACTGCCTAAATGACTTCATTGTTGCTATGACTGGGTGGGTGGTTAGGGAGGGACAAAAGGGGAATTTGGAGACAATTAAGTTCATTATCGACCCAACTGAGCTATGTGGAACATTTACTACATGAAAAGCATTGTGCATGATCACCTCACAATAACACCTGAAATCAACTATTTTTACAAATTAAGAAAATTCAAGTACAAGTTTAAGTGACTTTCCCAGAGAACACAGCAAGCGGGCAGAGAAGCAGAGACGTGATCCAAGACATTTAATCTTAGAACTGACAGTGTAAGTCATCAAGCATTATTACACAGAGAAGTATATTAAGGGCAATTTGCATTCGTAAATGTCAATTCCTACCTTACTGTAAGTCATCTTAAAACTGAAGAATGAATACAGAAGAATATAGTCCGCATTCCATCTCTAAATATTTCATAATGTCAGAGTGGTCTAATACAATCAAGCTGGGTCATGTAACTTTCAGGAACAAATAAATATGATAGATCAATTAGTCCTAAAGCTTGGACAGTGAATATCTTCCCAAACTCTGTGTTAAAGTGCTATTCGGCAATGTGAAGATGCTGAGTGGCGGAGCTGAGGGCTAAGTTCTCAGGCTACCGGTAGAGGTCTGGAAAGAAACTGGGGGACCCTAGTCTCCTAGTCCCCTTCTTCCTGGCTCACCAGGCCACAGTGTGGCTTAGTCCCCACTCCCTGCCACTGCAACCAGTGTCCTCACAGAAGCCCCAGAAAGGAGGCCAACTGATCTTCAACTAGAAACTGTGAACTAAAAAGACCTTTTCTAAGTAATTATGTCATCATTGTCATTAATGTAGAGCAGATAAACACCGATAGAAAACAACATGCCAATC